TGATGAGTTTCTTTCGTCTTAAACAGGCCAATGATAAAAAATTACGAGTTTTCAAGCTTTTATTTTGAAGGCACAGGCGATTAAATGAACAAAACAACGAGTAAGAGATTTAAACAGAGCATTTTAGTGCAGAGATTTACAAAGTTAATCTTTAAATAAAACTGGCCTATATGTGAAATGACACAGTTGTTGCCTGCGGTCGTCGTTGGGAGGGATTTACGATTTGCTGAATACTTTTGGATCCTCCTGAGAGCTGCAGGAAATCACACCGCTGGGGCCTGATGTCATCTCAGGATTAATGTTGGGACTGTGTGTGTGTGCACGCTCCACGGCTCTGTGCATGTTGTTCCCCCATCGCTGATGATGGGATCTTTACATGTGCAATATGAAGTGAAGGAGTTATTACAGCCACAAAGTGTGCAGCTTTAAGGTCCCATCACCACGGAGACGCGTCACACTAAACATGACCGCTCCAAAAACGCCTGAATGCATCTGGGGAAAGAAGCAGCTGGGAGCGCCTGTGGAGCGGGCTGCGTCATACAGGCGTCCAAATACAACACTGGTGAATAAATCTAGTGATATTGTTGCATTTCTGCGGTAAAATTAGCCGATACCGATAGTCACTGGATATGCTAATATCGGCCGACATTATCGGCTTGCTGATTCATCGGCCAGGTTTTTACTCCATACTCTTTAAAGGTTGTTTACTGTAATCATTAGGTTCATTATTCAACCCAAGAAAAAAGAATGTGTGACCTGATTCCTGCAGTCTGAATCATCTCAGTCAGCTACGCAGAGTCTGTGGCCGCACATGATGAACAATGTAATCAAGTCAGGGAAGACTCAGAATCTACCAATCACATTGTCCCCGATTCAACATCCCCTGGATTTCCCCCGTGGGCCTGATTACAGGCAGCACCACGATGTCTTTAGTGGCAGAGCGGCCTGTAATCAGGACCACCTAAAGCGGGGGGGGGGGGGGAGTTCAATCCCAGGGTGACCATGAACGGAACAAGCCACATAAATGAACACATTTCAGTCAGAAATCAGGACTGACTAAAGCGGTTTGATTCCTGCTGCATGTTGACCTGGATGTTTTTTTCTTCCTCGTCTCGTTCTTCTTCTTCCTAAACTCAATCACCTCAATTTGTCCCCTTGTTTGCTCTCCCCTCGTCTCCCCTGTCACACCGTTCCTCCTGCCTCCTCGATGGAGATCTACTTCCCTGTCCAACTTCAACTTTTTTTTTAATTTTAATTTTTAAAAGATTTATTTCTGGGCTTTTCATTTGAGAGATAGGACAGAGGATAGAGTCAGAAATGGGTGAGAGAGGAGTGGAGAATGACATGCAGGAAAGGAGCCACAGGTCAGATCTGAACCTGTGACCGCCTGCTTGGAAGACTACAGCCTCCATACTAACCACTGCACCACCAGCGCCCCCCAACTTCAACTTTCAGTTTCATTATTCTCCTCCTCCCCCTCTTCTTTGTTTCTCTGTTTGAACTCAAGCCTTCAGAGACATCTGGTTGGAGGAAAGGACCGAGTTGTGATTACTGCCACCTCTTATTGAGGACGTCTGTTCTCGCAGAGCCACAACAAAATAAACACAATAAAATCTAGGCCAGAAGAAATGAACTTGCAGCGAGAAAAAGAGAGAGAGTGCCGGTTTGTGACTGAGCCCAACTAGAAAGGATGTCAATTTCTTCTGCAGCTTGTTTGTCAGCCAAGAATAATCCCAGCCACTCAAACACACGCTTCATCAGAGTGCTGTGTTTTAATAAGGTTAGTGAGGGCAGCACGGGGTGAGAGACAACAAATCCCACAACTTCTCAGAAGCAATTCCTCACTTATGAAGAACACAGAATGAGCCCTGAAACATACGGAAGAACAAAAGCTGATTATTTGATCACTGCACATGTGACGCAGACATGTGCCACAGTTAGAAAACAAGATGTCAGCTGCCCTGCCTTCACTCTCTGTCTCCAAAGTGCAGAGCTGCTGCTTGGTTTGGTTCCACCGGGTTCCATCAGGCGATGATGGCGTTCCCCAGGACAAATCATTAGCAGGGCCCCCCGAGCTGTGCCACTTTGCACTTACATAAGCGGGGTGTGTGTTTGTGCGCTTTGTGTTTGTGCAGCTGATAAGAATGTTCCTCTCATCTCTGTGTATTACACAGCTAATCAGTCACAGCAGAGCATGCTGCAGCAGCAGACTGTCAGAAGTCTTTCACGCTGTCTCCCCGCAGTGTGATGGGAAATATTATCATATTAAATGAAGCCAGTTTGGTAGTGAGCAGGTTTTTGAAAATGTTGGGACGACATATGTGGTTATTTTTCTAATGAGAGGACATTTCTAGAAGTCGTTTTCATTTGTCCACTGCACAACTCCTACATTACACCTTTTGACATTCTGTGTTTTTAATTTTTAATTTTAATTTTAATTTTAATTTTATATTTTATATTTTATATTTATATTTTATATTTATTTTATATTTATATTTTATATTTATATTTTATATTTATATTTATATTTTATATTTTATATTTTATATTTTATATTTTTAAATCATATTTTATATATTGTAATATCTTCTTATTCTGTATTATTTAAGTTCTTGCTAGTTCTGCTTTATTTCCTTGATAATTGTTTAGCACCAACACACCAAGTCAAATTCCTTTATGTGTAAATGTACTTGGCAATAAACCCAGACTCTGATTCTGATTCTGATTCTGATTCTGATTCTGATTTGTTTGTATCAAATTTGATAAGACTGAAGTCTGAATCTGAATGATGGGAGGTGGACCTCACACATCCCTGCAGACTGTGTCTAATATTTACAGTCTATGGTCTGAACAGGCGATTCTAAAACGAGCCAATAAGAAACTTAACGTTCGCCATATTGCTATGCTAACAGGCTCTGTGGAGAAAGCTGATAATGGCGAATCAGTTGAGGAAACGGCCGCAGGTGTTGAAGTAAATATGTCTGAAAACCTGACCTTAGTGGGCGTGGCCTGCGGTGCTGTGAATTCTGGGATTTGGTGTCTTTCATCCACATGAACCAACTTCAAAATGTATTTCACATTTCTACTACATATATGACCCAATGTGAATACAGAGTCATGTTTCAACAAGTATCCCTTTAAGCTTAAACTAACGGCCCTGATTGTATGAATCCTAACTTTACGCTATCCTGATTAACACATCTCAAAAAGAGACATGAGGTCTTTGAGTGCTGCACACTGTGCTTCATGTTTGATCTCCAGTCTTTAACTCGTTTCCCAGTTATAGTTGTGAAGACTTCATTGCAGGCTTGATATGTTGCTGTGTCAGAAACCGTCCTGCTGAATAATGCATGAGCCCAAGCTGTGAAAAAAAAAGATGCTGCTGACTAGAGGATCGCCTGATGCAACGAGACAAAATCTTTAGATGACGGCCCTCAGCTTTCATAATCTGAGATCTTTCAAAACAAAGCATCGCTTTGGGGAGAAAGAGAGAAAATATGCAGAATATGTTGCCGGCCCACAATGCATTGCATCAAGACTTTCAGTGCAGGGACAGGCATCGTGTTTTTTTTTTTTATATTAAGGATCAGTTTGTTTAATGTGTGTGGCTGTGGACCTGTGGTGTAAACATGTAACACAGACAAGGTCATGTGACCGCTGAGAGTCCGGGGACTCTCTCACACACACACACACACACACACACACACACACACACACACACACACACACACACACACACACACACGCACACACACTGCTGCCGGGCAGACGCTCCAGTCACAGCGACTTCATCACATTCTGTCTGTCAGCTTTTCTCTTTCATTGAATCGGAGTGAACGTTTGAACATGACGTTCAGACGCATGTACGCTCTCCACACTCTGTACTCACACTGCATACACTATCTCACACACACACACACACACACACACGCGTCATCGGTGTGTTCAGGGTGCACTCACTTGAGCGTGGTCATCTCTGTGAGCGACGGCTGTGTGGCCTTCAGGTAGCTGGCTCTTCGGGCCTGCACCTTCGGCGAGGGTTTGGGGCTGCAGTCCGAGTCGCCGCTGTCGTCCTCTGCCATGGCTTTGATGTAGCTGCCGCTGCGCATCCGCCGGCACGGGATCTCGTCATCTTTTCCCAATGGAGAAAAACCACTCCAGTCGTCCTGGGGCACCTGGGAGGAGAGAGACGAGGTGGTGAGATGAGGTAAAAAGAGGAGGAGCAGACACAGGTCGTCCTGCAGGCGGCAAAATGTTCCACCCAGGTGAGCTATATAAACGCCTGTATGACACGTTGGTTACACGGCCCTGATCATACCATCAGCATGTGAGCGCCCGAGGCCTTCCTGTTCCTCTCTTGTGTTACATGCGGTATATCAAACGCGGAGGGGGGGGGAATTAATGGTTTTGACAAAAAACCTCGCAGTAGCCTCGCCTGTCTGCTCTGCTCTCCTGACTTTTCACACACACTAATGAAGGTAAAAAATAAAAAAAGAGGTAAAGCTATCTGCCAAAGAGAGAGAGAGTCAAAGAGAGAGAGAGTCAAAGAGAGAGAGAGAGAGAGAGAGAGAGAGGGGAAACAAAGGGGGGTTTTGTGCAGAACAACCACCGCAGTCCCCGATGTGAGAGGCTGTTAGGGCACCAGCTCTGAAAGTGAAAGAAATGAGATACAGAGCAGGGAGAGAGAGAGAGAGAAAAAAAAAGGGCAGCAGAATCATTCAACAGACGGCGGCGTAACTAGGAAACCAAGCTGTCTGATGTCAGGGCAGCGACCACACTGTGTGAACATACGGGGAGAGAGAGCGCTCTGGGGTGATGTCAAAAGGACTCGTAATAATAGAGAAAAAAAACCATAAAGGAATGAATGAAGTCCTGCCTTTTGACCCGATTAACTACAACAGGAAAGAGCAGTGTATTTAAAATGTTCTAACCCAGTGAAAAGGTTAAGCAGTCACTTCCTTCACTGTACGCATGAACACGTTTAACAGCAGATATCAGGATTCATAAAAACCTGCAGGAGAAGCAAAAAGAAAAAGCATCTTTCTGTTGAAAGGATTCTAAAATCCTTGTCAGGCTGCTGTCTCTCCTTGAAAGCCAGTTTTTCCCTTCTGTCTCTCCTTTTAAAGGAAAGAGAAAACGATGGCTCCAACACCCTGGGAGAAATGTTGCCGCGCTGCAGCGACAAAATCTTTCCTTGATCTGCTCGCTCTGTTTTTTTCCGAGCGGCCACACTAGAACTTTTCTCTCTCTGTCTTTTGTGCTCCTTCCCTTCTTTGCTGTCTTCCTTCCCCGCCTCTCCTCTTTTGCCCTTATTTTCCATCTTTAGGTCCTTTTCTCACAACACAAATACACACAATTTCTTCTATTCTCACAAACTTGTCCCCCATTTTCTTTCCTCAGGCTCGTACTTGCAGCTCACTCCGTTATATAAGGAAATGTATGCAATCTGAAATTTAGCATTTCCATAAAAAGGAGCAGTATAAGCTGAGTTTGCATGTCTGCATTGTGTCCTTTTGAATGAACGCTGGCTCTCCGATCTCATCATAGCACCCTACTCACGCTCCGTCAATAAGCTACACACACTCAAACATATCATCACTCACCGCTACGACCAGCAGCGAGACATCCTCAGCAGCTGCACTACCTCTGTTCCATGTGTCAATATGACATCTAATATGTCACATAACTGCATTTTACTTACCATGTTACTTCAGCATCTTTTGCACTATTCACCACTGCACTGTTTCATATTTTGTCTTTTCTTATTATGTTTATTGTTGATGTTTAATGTTGTACCTGTACATAAGAGAGCACAGTTCACCCAAGTTAAATTCCTTGTGTGTGTGTAAGCATACCTGGCCAATAAATCTGATTCTGATTCTGATTCTGAAATAACATCTACGCCCTGCTAATAGAAAAGTTGGTAATTTCTGGTCTCCTTATGCTGTGCTCTTCCTCTTGTAGGAAACACATTCTGTCACAGGATACATGAACACACAACACGTTAGGCATGCTTTTCTTTTTGAGTAAAAAGTGAAAGCTAAGCATGCTATCTGACACTGAACACATTTATTGACATGCTTACAGATGGATTTTTTTCACATGCATATGGAAACAAAGTCAGAACAACAGGAAGTGATGATTTTGAAATCTGCTGCGTGATGATGCGAGGGAGAGAAACGTCGAGTAAACAAGGGGATTGAGTGGATGCAGCGCGCACACACATACACACACACAGCAACACTGATGCATGCTGACATACAGAAAGCATGGAGGTGGAGGCGTGCATCGCTTGGTTTGCATGAAGCACGACACTGGAGAGGGCGGAGCTGTAGCGACGGTCCTACCTGAAGGAAGTGGCAGGTGCGTCCCTGCTCGGCTTTCACTAGAGCTTTATCTAGGTTGACTGAGGCCTTCTGGTAGACCTCTCGTGCTCTGCTCACCGTCAGAGTCGACGACCACGAGCTCTTCTTCAGCTGCATCTGGGCGTCCAGTGGGCCCACCAGCGGCATGGCCCCGCCCCCTCCACCGCTCCCCGAGCACGTCGAGCACTTCACGTCGTTGTTGCTCCGCGACGTCTTCAGAGAGTGGGCGCTGATGGTGTTGTAGGACTCCATGAAGTACTGCGACTGGGATTTTTCCGGGTGGCGCCCCATCGTCATGACGCCGGTGGGCAGGCCTCCGCTGCTGCCCCCGTGGTGGTGGTGGTGATAGAGGCACACCTCGCGGTCCAGCGTGTCGTCGGAGCTCCAGTAGCCCGAGATGGCCGATCGCATCTTGGGCTCCGACCTGGAGCGGTCTTTGCTCTTGCTGCGCTTGCTGTGCTTCAGGGTGCCGGAGGAGGACGGCGGGTCGTCCGGACTGGATTTGCTGCCGTTCATCCTCCCGCTGCCGCCTCCCCCCGCGGACCCTGAGGGCCCCTCTAGGGAGTGCGACTTGGTGAAAAGCTTCTGGACGGAGTGGACAAGATGGCGGATTCGACCCGGGCTGTCGCTGCGTTGGTGTTCGACCGCGGTGCGCTTGTACTGCAGCGTGTGGTAGCCTTCCCGCCGCACCGGAGCCTGGAGTTCAAACTGCTCCAGCAGGTTAGAGGGGATGCGGTTGTTGTTGTTCCCACCCCCACCTCCACCGCCCGCCCCCTTACCGCCCCCCGTGTAAGGCACCAGAGCGCTGCACTCGTCTTTCAGCTCGTGGTGAGAGCCGTAATGTCTGCGGGGAAAGGTGCAGCTGGCCAGATCGGGGTAGGCGCTGCACTCGGACTGGAAGGAGTTGGGGCGCTGGGTGTAGCACGGGTGGTCGCCGGGATGAGCATCGCCCGGGTTGAGGAAGTAGGACCGGCGATCAGGGTGCCCCAAGGTCATGGAGTCATAGGAGGGGTCGCAGGTCACCGCGTGGTGACTGCGGCTGCCGGACAGGCCTTTCATCGTCATGGCGGCCGGGTCGATGTGCACATCCAAACTGTTGCCGCAAGGAAGTCCACACAGGCCGCAAAAACTAGCTCTTCAAAGAAAACACACAGCAATGAGGAAGAAGAGACAAACAAACAAAAAGAGAGAGAGGAGAATTATAAATATCTCACATTTGCATACACTCAAAGAACATTGTTGTGGTCGGCTCCTGCTTTCATTTTGAAGAAGATGCTTCTTGGCACTCCTTCGAAGAGATGCGGAAAAAAACTTGTTGACAGGGCTTGGACCTATTCTTTATTTTTGTCCTTCAAAGAAACTTCAGAAGAAGGATCTCTAAATATAGCATCCAGTTGGCATCTGGTCCCTGACATCCGAAATCTGTCCTCAAGCTTCCTCTCCCTCTCGCTTCTCTGTTCTCTCTCAGACAAACAAAGTGTCCGTTTATAGAGAAACAAACGAGGAAGATGTACCACGAAGAGTTCAAGTCTATTTCCAGCTTGAGTGTTTTTTCTATGTTTGTTCAAGGGCACTTTTTTTTTAGAAATGAAGCCTTACTCAACAAATAATATGATGAGAGATTGGAGTTAGTAATGCACAGAAATCCTCTGCAGAGACCTTTTAGTCGGTGATTTGATTGAACAGATGATGTAACAGTGGAACAGTCTACCTGTTAATATAAGAACACTCCCTCCCCTCTACGCTCTGCCAATGAAAGGCGTCTGATCCAACCTTCACAACAGGGTCCTAAGTCTCTGACTAGACTCTTCTCCTCTGTCGCCCCCCGGTGGTGGAATGAACTTCCAAACTCCATGTGATCTGCAGAGTCCCTCTGCACCTTTAAGAAAAAGCTAAAGAGCCAGCTCTTTCATGAATACCTACTAACTTAATGATGATGGTCTCCATATTATTGATGATGATGATGGTAATGATGATGGTTTTTGTTTGATAACGACGACTTATAAGATGGTTTCTATACTGATTAGAGCTCTCAAGAACTGCCCTCAATGTTGTGCTTTGCCTCTGGTCACTTCCTGTCAGCACCTGTGTGTCCAATCAGACTCAAAGCTGATCGTTTGCTCTTACTCACATTGTTCCCTTTTTTCTAGATCCTTGCTTGTGTTGTTCTTACTCTCTGATGTACGTCTCTTTGGAGAAAAGAGTCTGATAAGTGAATTGTAGAATTGTAGAAGAACTCAGTCCATCGAAAACTTCAAATCTTTGCTCTTTGCTCTGGCTTTTAATACAATTTGAGCTTGACATTTTGAAATGTTTTATTCATGCTCCTATTCATTGTGTTTCATTCTATATGTTATTTTATTTGTTGTGTTTTTGTAGAGCACTTTGGTCAATCTAGGTTGTTTTAAATGTGCTATGGAAATAAAGATTGATTGATTGAACAGAACGGTAACGCTTATTTATTTTTGCGTTTCAGTGCATGTGCTCAGTGTACACAAATGCCCCCCCCCCCTTTTATTTCAGCACCACCACATAGAAATATCAAATGATCACAGCCTGCTCCCTTTCCCCCTCCCTGTATACCTCCACTTCTTATCTACAGGCTAAACTAATTGGCCGGTAAAACCCAGCTGACAGCTCCCCGGGCCCGGTCGAGCACAAGTGGCAATAAACGACCTTTCCCTTACACGGTGACATGAAAACAATGGCATCCATCAGTGCCCCTTAAACTGCCTTCCATACCCATCTGGGGCTGGCTATAGCTTGCTGAACCCACAACATTTCCTATGGACTTGAGTTGAGGCTAACAAGACAATAATAATAGGAGCCCAAAAAGCACCCCGGTGCAGCCCATGTGACAGCACTGTGGCCGAAGCCTGCGCCGGGAATTCATTACCTCGATTTATATTTTGCACTAGCAAAAGGCCACTGTGGGAAACATAACAAAAGACCATGAGGGAGACAGAGCAGTGCAACGATATATTATGTCACTTCTTTACATATCTAGAGGACACTGCGTAGGGCACAGGGTGTGTGGGGGACTATATATTTATGTGCAGGAATATCGAGCGAGTCAGATTTATTATTGTCTGTGACACAGCCGTAAACTGGCCGCCGGAGTAAATGAAAAATTGGGGGAAATTATTCATGTATCTCCTTTCTGTACTAAACCAGAGGCTCCAATCACTCTGCAGGAGAATGAGGCCAATACATCACTTTGTATTGTTTGGGAGTGAAAATGACAAAAGCACACAGCGGCAAAAAAAAAATCCCCCACAAGCCGTCTGCAATATGCTCACAAGAGCCGAGCCGAGCGAGCCCCGCACAAAGCCCGCGCTGCACACCACACAGATTCCACACACTGTGTCCGTTTTCTTGCAGGGCACTTAGAAAAAGTGGGCCGCGTCCAACTATAAAGGTATTCATCGGCGCTGACAGAGATCCCTTCTGTTGGCCGCTGAAGCACAGAATGTGACCTAAATAAAAAAAAAGGCCCTCGCGGTGATCCACAGCAGCGTGTTTGTGTGGCACAGCTGTCTGCAGCCCCGCACTAAAGCTGAAAAGCTGAAGTTGGGTCACGCTGGCTTTCTGCCTGCTAACCACACACCTAAAACACACACACACACACACACTGACATATAAACACATAGTGTATCTGACAGGCTGCATGTCCGTGCTGAATTTCGATGTTGCTAGCTTGTAAAGTGCAGTTTATCATGAACGAGAAGAGGGTCTGCTGGTTCTGCCACGTCTATCAGGTACGACTCGCAGTGACGCGAGGGGACCTGTGGTTATGTACGATGCTGTATGTCAATCGCAGCTGAGTGACCCAGTTGTGTCTCTACCTGTCTGGTCAAGTCAGCCTCGACACACACACACACACACACACACACACACACACACACACCAACAACTGGACATGCTATACTTCCACAGCAAAATGGTTATAAAACAGAAGAGATACTGGAGCAACACTTCTCAGGTTGTAATCTGTCACTTTATCTTAGCATTAGCATTAGCATTTATCTTAGTGTCGTTAATTAGCTGTTAGCTTTAGCCACACACCGTTTGATTAAACCCGTCAAACAGCCCGTTCTCTCACAGGACATTAAGACGACTCACAGTGATAGTAGTGGCACATTTAACGCTCTAAATCCTCTTTCTTGCAGAGTATTGAAAGCCCCGTTAACACTGTATGGACCGTCAAATCTGGATCCTTACAGGAGTGCTGTTACGCGTCGATTCAACAATGGCGGTTTGAGGAAGCAATTAAGCAAATGGTCAAAGGTCAACAAGGAGAATTTTCTTGAACTGATTCAGCAAATAAAATCATTTTAAAAAGCAGAAAATCAAACAAGTTTTAAAAAGGCAAATACAGCACAATAACTCTGTGCTTTTCACTTTGTGTGATCGGGCTCCAAACACCTCGGAGACCTCATTATTCAAAGTGATTGTGTGCCGCGCAGCAAGGTGTGCAAACAAAATGCAGTAGAGTAGATAAAACAAGTCAAGCTATGAATGTTAATGACCATTAGCACCTGCACTGCATCAGCACAGCACGCTGCCTTTTTGGGGGCCAAGAGGAGGTAAATACAAAAAAATAGATTTTCCTTCTCTTATCTAACACAGAAGCTAATCTTGGACGCGAGGCGGCGCAGCGTTCAGATCTAATCTTCACTTTCTGGACTTCAACGAAAGCAAATGAAAAAAAAAAAACAGGTAGATTGATGCAAAATAACATCGACTAACAGAGTAGCATCTCTGCAGGAAGTGTTGAAATCAAGAAGTCTCAGCGTGAGAAGACTGCAGCAGCTTCTCATCCATGGCACAAAATAAAGAGAGGTGCTGTGCTGTATGGATTCCTGTTCCTCTCATCTCCCTCAATCAACATCAAACGCTACTGAGGAAGCTCAGGGCTCACAGATCGTCTTAAGGCCACACAGCTAATAAAAGGGTCTCTCTCAAACCGAGCAATGATTTCTCAAAAGGTTGCAAACATTACCAGGTATTCAATCACCTCGACGATGTGACTCATCTTATGTGACTGTGTGTGTTTGTGTGGAGGAACCAGGAGAAACGGTGCAGCACTTTAGGAAGCTTTTTATTACTTTGATCCTGCAAACACTCGCAGTCCAAGCTAAGGGCTGCAACACGAGGGTGTAGATATTTTGCATCCATAAAGGTGTGCTTTCTATGAAGGAGGATTAAATACGTTAAAAAATGTTTTTTATTTTATTTCAAGATTAAAGTCGTAAATTTAGGAGAATAAAGTTGTAAATTTACGAGATTAAAGTCGTAAATGTACAAGTTCGAGACCAGCCTGCGCAAAAATTATGAAAGTAGAACTCAACGTATTTTCCTCTGCAGTCGGTGTGCTTCTTTCTTCAGTTTCTTGCAGTATCTTTTCAGGTTCCTGATATTTTATGACAATGTGAAGATGATGATGTGCCAAAAACATGTGTAGTTTCATATCTGTATAAGTAAAGCCCCAACACATCTATTTGTGTCTGTTATCTGTCTGCCTTGTTAAAGTGTCTCATGTGCAGAGCCAGTCTGTTTTTGCCAACTGTTTTTACCGACTACACAAGGAAGTAGCCTATTTCTTTATTAGTGAAACCTTTAGGACAAGATGCTCCATGTTTGTCATTTGAGAACAGGATGCTGCTGCTCTTCTGACTAAAATAACGACTTTATTCTTTTATTCTTTAAAGAATTTAAGAGTTTCAAAATTTTTGCGCAGGCTGGTCTCAAACTCGTTAATTTACGAGATTAAACTTGTAAATTTAAGACTTTAATCTCGTAAATTTACGACTTTATTCTCGTAAATTTTACGAGTTTAATCTCGAAATTTTAAAAATATATATTTTTTTAACATGGCCCTAATCCTGCGTTGTAGCTTTCCTCCAACACACACAGAGAACAGAAGAGGGTCTATACCCTGGTGGTGATTACCGGTACTGCACTGTACCTGTAAGCGACGGGGAAACAAAGGTGTGTACTCCAAGCTGGAAATCCTGTCTCAGCCTAACTTGGCTTCATTTTTGGTAAAAAAAATACTGTTATTGAAATGATGCAGTGTTTCATATTACAGTCAGTCGTCAGATTTCTCTGCAGGAATCTTTAAAAATGAGGTCA